TGAACAAACTATTGATACACACAACAACCTGGACAAATCATCAGAGAATTATGCTGAGTGAAAAAGTGAATCCCAAAGGATGCAAACAATAATTCACTTAGATAACTTTGTTAAATGACAAAACTATAGAAATAGAGAACTAATTCCTGGTTGTCAAGAGCTAAGGAGGGCCCTGGCCAGGTGGCTAAGTTGGTTGGAACATCATCCTGTACAACCAAAGGCTGTGGGTTCAATCCCCTCTCAGGGCACATACCTAGATTGTGGATTTGATCTTCTGTTGGGATGCATATGGAAGGCAACTGATGGATGTTTCTCTCTCTCTCCCTAAGTCACTCTTGAAAATCAATATATCAATCAACATATCCTCAAGTGAGAATTGAGAAAAAAAGAGCTAAGGAGGAGTAAAGGCAGGAGGGAAGTGGTTGTGGCAATCACAGGGTAATATGAGGGATCCTTGATGAAAATGTTCTGTATCTTAAATATACCAAAGTCAATGTACTGATGCTGGCAGGCATTATAGTTTTGTAAAATGTTACCACTGAGAGAAAATGGGTAAAGAGTACAAAGAATCGCTGTTATTTAACAACTGCATGTGAGTCTACAATTATCTCAAAATAAAAATTAGGGTTTTATGGCATTATCTCAAAATAAATTTTTTTTAAATAGCATTTTTCTCCATGGGAAATATCAGCCAAAGCATTTGTCAAACTATTTTAATATTTCTAATTTTCTTGTTGACAAGCACTAGGAAATTCACCTCTAAAAACTAATTCCAAAGCGTTTACCAAGTACTTGTCATGTGTAACTAGGAACAAAGGAAACAGGCAAAGAAGACAATGTCGATTCAGAGTTTTTGACACTTTCTGATGAAGATAAACAAGAACTACAATACTAAACTCAAAATAACATAAAGTATTTCACTATTCCTGCCCCAAATTATAAGTATTTCTATATAAAACAGGCAGCACCTGACCAGTATATGACAAATTTGTGTTTAAGTAATTCTAGAGAAAGTCTTTTCTTCTGTACTCCCAGCCAGTATAAAACTCTTCCCCAACAGAACCTCCTGCTCCCAAGCCCTGGTCTCTGTCTCACCTCAGCCAAACCACCACCCTACCATGTTATCTGGGCAGAAACAGGTGAGGGGAACAGAGATCATACACATGCATGTCACACATACACACACTCATTCTTCTCTTACACCCAACTTGCAATTCCTCTGAATATGAACACCTAAAGAGGGGAATGGCAAAGCAGAGGGACTAGTTAAGGCGTCCTCTCACTACAGTTATGCTATCAGAAAAGGAAAAGATACAAAAAAGAAGAAAGAAGATGGAGGGACAGACAAAGGAGAGAAAAGTTATACTGTAGTCTTAACCTACAGTCTCAGTTCTTACATTCCTCAGGCTTCATGAAACCAAGACGTCCAAATCTGCCCACCTCTTCCCCACTCTTTTCCCAGAAGCAATTCCCAAGTGCCTCCCCTCCCTTTATACACACTAGTCCCCTCCTAGCTTTCCTGGGAGTCCCATTCCAAGAAACTGGAAAATAAATACTAAATGAATAGAATTCATCATTTGTTAATACTGTAACCCTTGCCTTCTGGTAAAGCTTTGCTGTAACTGTAGTCCATTTTTTAATGATAGGTTACTTTTAGAAATTAGAGGTTTAGTTGATAACAGGAAACCTAATATTAAATTACTATTCATACCCACTGGGCAAAAACTGTTTTCACTACTGTTAATGTATATTGCCTGACTGATTTTACATTGAGACCCAGCAAGTGAAGCCACTGAGTAGTAAAAGCTGGTATCCCAAGAATGTGAGGACAAGTTGTTATTATGACAATAGCCTCTCTACTAATTGGGACATGCTGATTAGGCTGACTGGCTCATGGAGTTCCTTGTCTTGCCTTAACATTTCAGGTGTTCTGTTTCCAAGGCTGGGAAGTCTCCACAGACAAATTACACAGTCCTTGTACCAGAATTCATGGATCAGGTTGGCCAAAAAGTCCGTTTAGTTTTTTCCATAAAATAAAGACAAATTTTTCATTTTCACCAATAACTTTATTGATTTGATATTTTGAGTCTGTTGGCTATCTTCTGCTACTGGCTTCTAATGGGTAGAGGCCAGGGGTGCTGCTAAACATTTTCCAGTGCATAAAACAGCCCCACAGCAAAGAATTATTTGGCCAAAATGTCAATTGTACCATGAAACTTCGCAAACCACTTTTGACACATTCAATCAGTCACAGTACCTTCTTCATACACTGCACAATCTTTTTTTGCATCAGTTGCGTTTTTACCTTTCTTGAATAAAGCATATATGCTGAGAATGTTGCGTACCTTCTTCCATCTTCAATATTACAATGGCTGTGCAACAATTCACCAATTTTGGTAAGTTTTTCTTAGTGCATGTTGATATGACAGCTGTCACAATACAATCTAACAAAATTGTTTCAAATGAAGTTAAAGACAACTAAGCACTACTAGGGCCATGGTAGGGGAAAAATATAATTAACTTTTTGGCCAACTTAACACTTCAGCCCATAGTTTCATGTTCAGTTCTAATAAAATTAGCTAGTTTTCAAGTTCATGTCTAATCGGAAGGAATATATTTCACACATAGAAAAGCACTTCTTTCATTCAATTACCATTAGTTGAATGCCTAAGAAGTGCCAGGCACTTGGAGATTGGTATTGACCAATATACAGTGATCCCTATCTTTCCTGACTTATGTAGAGGGGGCTCAGACAGAAGAACAAGTTAAAATAAAAATAATAGTAAATAAAATAATTACAAAGTGTGACAGTTGCTAACATGGCTATAAACAGAGCTGAGGAACTTGCACTTTCTCCAGATATGAAGAGCAATTTCCTTTCTAACACAATCAAAATGCAGAATTAAAAATTCATATAATTTATTGGCTCCAAATATACTCTAAAATTTCTTTTTAAAAATTAAATCCCAGCCCTGGCCAGGTGGCTCAGTTGGTTGGAGTATCATCCCATACACCAAAAGGTTGTGGGTTCAATTCCCAGTTATGGCACATACCTGGTTGAGGGTTTGATCCCCATTCGGGATTCATACAGGAGGCACAACCAATCGATGTTTCTCTTTCCCTCTCTCTCCCTCTCTCTTTCCTCTCTCTCTAAAATCAGTAAACGTATTCTCAGGTGACAATTAAAAAAAAATTAAATCCCAGATGTTAGCCTGTTACCATTTTTATGTTAAATGCTGAATTCCCACTCCAATCCCTAGTATAGAAGTGGTAAATGAAGGGCTTAAGGCAGCATTTCCATAGGTGGAGTCAATTCCCAGTGACCCATTTCCAAAAATGAGTCACTGATAAGTGAGGGAAGGAAGCAGGAAGTAGGCCAAAGAGCATACCTTCAGGTATTTCAAAACTTGGCCCACAGTAGGCCCCATAAATAGGAAAAGACACTCTTCCTCCTTGTCAAGATCACTTAGTACCTTGGTCCCTGGGATCCACAATCCTTATGTAGTTCCATACCTCAGTTGCTTTAAGCAACTTTTGTAGACTCACCTGGGCACAAAACCACCTTGTGGAAATTTTTTTTTAAGAAAGTGAGATAGATTCCCAACACGCAACCAACAAATCAACCCCACTTAAATTGGAGACTGCCAAGATAAAACATTAATGTTGCTTTCTACAATGTTTAGCTCCAGTCAAAACTCAATCATATCTTTAAGGAACACTTTATTTTATTTTTTAAGGTTTTATTTATTAATTTTTAGAGAGGGGGGAAGGAAGGGAAAAAGAAAGGTAGAGAAACATTGATGCTTGAGAGAAACATCAATTGGTTGCCTCCCGCAAGCCCCCGACCGGGGAACTGGCCCACAACCCAGGCATGTGACCAGGAACAGAGCCTGAGACCTTTCTGGTTTGCGGGAGGATGCCCAACCCACCAAGCCACACCAGTCAGAGCTTTAAGGAACATTTTTAAAATTACATTATTATAAGTACCTAATCTTTTCAAATATGCTAAACACAATAACCTAATATTAAAACCTACTGACTGGCAGATACAGTTAACTACAAATCTGATCCACACAGGCAGTAATCTGAATTTCCATCAAGGAAGATGCAAGCACTAATGATGGAACAAAAATGAATCCAGGCTTTATCTGGGCCTCAGAGGGAAAAAATAGCTCCAAATTTTCATTTTTAACTACATTTCTTACAATTCAAATGTAATTTCTGCAAACTTAACTCTAAGACTTGTCTTAATTTGCCTGACTTTGCTTCCTCAAAATTATTCATAGACTGAAGACTAGATTTGTTCCATGCTACTGTACCTCCACTTCTTCCCATTTATAAAGTCTGACCTACATTAAGTTAGTAAATTACTTCTGAAAGCCTCCACCTGGCCTTTCTTTCTAAACACCTACAGTTGTAAACAGGGAAATTTGTAGTCCAGTCCGCTTATCACAAATTAGGAATTAAAAACGAACGACCTCTCTTTTTAAAGATCTACAGAGAATTTTCTGCCAATTCCCTCTTTTCACCCACTCCTTTGTAACCACCAGGAAATTCTCCCTTTAGTCTCTTAGCCACCATCCTCAAACTCTCCCATGCACCTGTGCCGCTCCTTGCTATTCCCATGGAGAACACCTGCCCCCCTCAGTCTCATCATCCTCTGCTCAAAAGCCTATGACTTCCCATCTCGCTCAAAATAAAAATCTTAGTTCCTGTAAGGGTCAAGCTGTGCGTCATCTAATCAGTCTGCCATCTCCTTAACTTTTCAGCCTCAGCTCTTTTCACCCCTTCCCTCACTCCCTGCCGGCACTTTTACACTTTCTGCCTGGAATGCTCCCTCCTCTCCTTCGTCTTTCTCAAATGTTGCCTTCCCCTACTCCACCCACCCCTCCCATGTAAAACTAGAAACTTCCAACTTCCTATTCCCTCACAAACTTTCTATTTCGTTTATTTCATTAACTATTATTCCCAATATAGGTTCCAGGAATGCAAGAATTTACCTGTTTTGTTCTCTGCTGTACCCCCAACGCCGAGAACGCTGCGAGTTACCTGACAAGAGTGGAGTAAATATTTGTGAATGAATCAAAGTGTTATTCACCATGGGATGTTTGCTGGGCACCAGGCCCCGGCCAAGTTTGTTAAAGTCAGGGTACGTAAGACACTGTCCCCGACTTTACGGCACCAGATGGAGAACAGGGCGGCAAACTAAGGCCACGGGCAAACATGCCAAATGCTCAGAGGACGAGGCCCTGGCTTCGCCTTTCTGGGAACCAGTTCAGCTTCCCATCGTCGCGCAATTCTCTACGCAGCTCCTCTACATTCCTGAGATAACCGGGGACCCTCTTGTACTCCCCAAACCTCTTGCACTCCCCAAACAGTTACACATCCAGAGGTGCAACTTCCGGCCTGTTCGCGCCCGCGGGGCACAGTACTTAATGAAACAAATTTAAAAGTCTCTGCTCTTCAGCCTCCACACCTCTCCTTTGCCCTAGGGACCACACCCCACAACTGGCTAGGGCAGAACCCCGTGCAGACCACAGCGCTTTCTCCACCACATGCACCCTACTTCCGCAGTCCACACCTGCTCCCCGAGGTCCCTTCGGCTCTAGTTTGCGCGTGCGCGAGCCCACCCACGTGGACTCGGGTGACGCCGGCCTCTACGCAGAGTGGCCACGCCCTAGCGTAGAACTGGCTTCTGATTGGTTGTCCCTGTCTCGAGGACCCAAGTTGGGAAGGCCTGCGTCTGCGCTTGCAGAGGTGCAGCTAGTCGAGTCTTCAGCTACTTCTTTCCGCTCCTCTCCGCCTTCGCCAGCTCACTGTAATCCTGCCAGCATGTCTCAGGTATAACGCGTGCCCAGCCAGACTACGATAGTGCAGCGGGGCGGGAAGCCGGTGTCGGGACTATCCGGCACCAGAACCCTGAAAGGTCTCTGTCTTTCCGGCTCCGCTTTTCCTCCTATACTCATGCCCAGCTCTTTGGACTGAGCCTTCCGAGCGGAACTTTGCGGTTTGGGGATCTCAACACCGCTATCCAAACTCTGCTAGGAAGTTGTCCATCGAGTAGGCTTCACAGTGGAGCAGTGAGGGTCTGAGGTAGAAAGATTAAACGTAGAGGGTCGCATGGGTTGAAGGAGCAAGGGGACCGAGGTCCACCACCAAGAAGGACTGGACGGGAGTAGAGGCTCTTTGCAGAGTGGGGAAGCAAGGAGGCGGCGGCTGAGCTTGGAGGTCAAGAGAAATAGGGGCCCAGTGTCTGGCGTGCGGGAGGGGGAGGGTGCGCCGGGGGAGAGGTGACCCAGAGGCTTTTCCCTTCCTTGAATGTAGACGCTTTTCCGAGACCGAGCTGTGTGGAGCGACCTTTGTCTCCTCTCCTCACCTCACTCCAGCCCGACACTGGGACAGGATTTACCGACGCCAGGGGAAGGGACCCAACAGACTCAGGCCGCTGACCCTGCTGTACTCATAACTTGCCGCCTTCTCAGCTGTTTCAAGCACCTGTGCCATCCCTATCCACAGATAGGGCTTCACTGGGACCCCAGCCATTCCCCAGTGTGACCTGGTAGTGGCCAGGCAGTAGGCCACGCTGCTTTTCCTGCCCAGTACGCTCTCACTATAGGTAGTCTTAGCCTGTCTCCTTCACCACTGTATTTCCAGTACCTGACACCTGGTATAGAGAGAGCTCTCTTTACCTATTTGTTGATGAAATAAGTGATCCTATGTGCTTCCCATCTTTGTTTTGCTGAATCTTTCCAGCTGACCTGTTGTGTAGATAATGGGGAGACATTTGAGGGAGCGCTGTTTTTCCTCACCTGCGTTACAGGAGTACTGCCTTTGCAACTCCTGCCTCACCCCTCTCTGGCATTTAGGCTGAGTTTGACAAAGCTGCTGAGGAGGTTAAGCACCTCAAGACCAAGCCAGCAGATGATGAGATGCTGTTCATCTACAGCCGCTACAAACAAGCAACTGTGGGTGACATAAATACAGGTATGCTGGGATGAGTTTGGGAGGGCGCCTGTTCATCGAACCTAACTCAGCAGCCTTGATTTGTGCTGGAACTCTTTAATCTGTGGGAACCTCATTCAAAACCACCAAGGTCCTACTCTTTGGGTGGGGCATGGTAATTTTTCATGATATTCCAGGGATTTAAGCTGGGAGAGGGTCCCAGAGACATGTTCCTGGTTTACAGACCCTGTACTATTCTTGTTTCTTGATAGCTCAGGTAGCAGAATTCAAATCATAGTTTTGAAAGGACTTTACTGATTATCAAGAGCTTTCCCCATCTACTTGGGAGGAAGCACAGGCTCCCAGCTTGGAAGACCCACAAACTCTCAGCTCAGTAGTACCTTTGTTAAAACATACTGCTTCCACCCTAGATAGGCAAGATCAAAGTCTCAGAGCACTTGGCAGTGGGGCCTAGCCTAAATCAGGAGCAAAGGAGCAGCTGGCTTCCTGGGGCAGGTCAGAGCATTTTGGCTGAAACAGTTCCTGATGACTGTTCCCTGTTGAAAAATCTTGGTACAGATTTTGAAGCCATAGTTTGAATATATCACATTCTATAATACTGCCCTTTCTGCCTTGGCCAATTTGCACTCTGCCCCCAAAGTCCCTGAAACTCGAATGTATACTGAGGCAACAGCACAATTCAGTCCATACAAGAGCTCAGAGTGGTGGCCATGGCACCACAAAAGGTCACTCCTACCCCTTTCTGTTCAGGAAGGGAAAGGAGAAATGAAGAGAGAGTGGCCATGGTGGCTGAGATACTCTTCAACCGGGCAGCATTTTTCACAGAGACTGGTCCTGCTCTGCTTTTATAAGAGGATAGGTAGACTGGCTTGGGAATCTATCACTTCTTGATCAGGGAGGTATCAGCACACTCTAGGACTTCATGGGCCAATGCAGTAGCCACTAGCCACATGTCGTTACCTAAATTTAAACTAAAATAGTTTAAATTAAATAAAGTCAAAAGTTCTGTCTTTACTCACACAAACTACCATTCCAGGAGCTCAGTTGCACAAGAGATAAATAGCCCCTGAATTGGATAATGCTATGTTTCCATCATTGCGGAAGGGCTGTTGGGATGTGCTGCTCTAGGATTTGGTTGATGACTGTAGGTGCAGTTTCTCACAGGTAGCCTGGGAATGCATCCCTGAAAGCACTTAGGATGTGGTGTTCCACTGACACAGTGGTACAGGCTGTGAGCACTGTGATTGTCCCCCTTGTTTCCATTCTCAGCATGGCTGGAAGTGAGGTCCACAGGGAAGAAGTGCATGTGTTTCCCAAGTGCAACTGGTAACAAGTGTGTAAGCATAAAATCACGGTAAAGCTTAAAACTTGATTTTGGGACAAAAAACTCCCACAAATAAAAAAGATTGGTAGAAAAATGGGCGAGGATATGAACATACAATTCACAGAAAAGAACACCCAGAAAACTGAAAACAACAATGCAGGGGACAGAGAAATGAGGTTGGAGGGAAACTTTATACTATTCCACTTCGTAGCATTTGGGTTTTAAGCCATGTGCATGGATGTAGTACTTATTTTTTGTTTGTTTGGGTTTGTTTTTGTTTTTGTTTTTTGCTTTGTTTTAATTAAAATATAATACAGGTTTTTAAAGGAGAAGTATTGAAATTACTTAACTTAGAAGATAAGGACTCTCTAGTAATGAGAACAGTTTTCCTCTTACTTTCTCTGGATGTTAAATTTGGATTTCTGTACACTGTTCTAGGCCTGTTTAACTTCATAACAGTGTGAAAAGGGTAGGTGTAATAAAAGATGGCTTTCATGGCAAGAGAGTTGAAAAAGTTTTCCATTAGAACATGAAGGAGATCTAATAACTTTCCTTTTCTTCTTGAAGAACGGCCTGGGATGCTGGACCTCAAAGGCAAGGCCAAGTGGGATGCCTGGAATGACCTAAAAGGTAACTGTTCTAATCAGTTTCCCTCATTTGTGAAGCCCAGTAATGAAATACTCTTGATTATGGAGTGTAAGGGGTGAGGAGAGAACAAAGGATGAGGCACATGCTAGAAACTAGCCTGACCTATGTCAGAATGGAAAAAAAACTGGGTCACCTACTTTTTCTCCTAATATCATTAATGCCTTTTCCAAAAGCACCATCTCCGAGCAGTTGTACTATCAGGAGAGGAGGAACAGGGACCAGGCCACTGAAAACCAGATTGGAAGGCTGTATATTGACAAGGACTTTATATATATTCAGAATAAGAAGTGGATTTTTGCTCACACCTTCCTCTCTCCCACAAGGCCAGGCAGTGACCCCATAGTCCAAGCAGCCTTCCCCAGTTCCCTTTCAGCCAGAAAGGCACACACAAAAAGAAAGGAATGAGCTAATGCATGTCAAGCTTCTGGCACTCATAGGCTCAGTGAATGGAGCTATTATATGCTAAGCAACAGCAGCCAAGAAGTGTCTCAGCTCCGATTTAATCACGTGCCACCTGTGGCAGCAAGCCCTAAAAGTTGGCACTAAAGTGCCTGCAAGCTTTTGTGTTCTTGCTAGCTAGTTTCTGAATAAGCTCTCTGTCTTCCTGCAAATGAAAAACGCTTGAATTAAAAAGGGCCAGAATACAATAAAAAACACTCCTAGGATTTGTAAGTAACTGGAACAGAAATGCTTATCTGTTCCATACCATCTGACCTATCTGACTCTCCATTTTCATTGGGCATTTCCATACCGTCCTCAAGCCCCATGCACTCTCTAGTGCTTCAGATGCACTTTGTTTCCCAGCAAGGATCTCTCCTTCACTGTGGAATCCAGGAAACTAGGTGTTACTATCTCTGAAGGATATAGTCAGTGTCTCTTATGCAGCAGCAGAAAAGCAAAAATTTGCCTCATTCCTTCCAAGAGCCACCTGCTTTTGCTCAGAGTTCTCAAAACTTTTCTTGTAGCTTCTCTCTGGGAAGAAGAGAGTACCTCACTTTGCTGTTTAACTGCCAGCCTAAGAACCCAACAAAGAAATACTTGGTAGGGCAAAGCCAACCATGAGAGTCGGCAGGACTGGCAAAGCCACCATGGCTCCTCACCTTAGGCTTTCTTGCCTGCCTGGAGGGCCTAACCTTTCTCCTGAGGTTCAGGCTAACCACTCACAAAAGGGGAGACACACGGCCAGCAGACCACTGGCAGACCTCAGGACAGCCATACACTTTGGTTCAGTGCTTTGTGGAGCATTCATTGTGGGCCAGGCTTCTCAAATACTTTAAGTCAAATCCTGGCCAAGTCTCTGAGGTGTAGATAGTAGGATTCCCTGCTCTACCAGTGAAAAACCGAGCCTCAGAGTGTTAAAGCAGAGCTATCTAGGACTCTGAGGCTCCTGCTTTTCTGCCATGCCGCCCCTCTGACAAACAGTCTGTTGGTTCCTTACAGGGACTTCCAAGGAAGATGCCATGAAAGCTTACATCGACAAAGTAGAGGAGCTGAAAAAGAAGTATGGGATCTAGGTATGGCTGCCAGCCATGCATTTCGTCCAAACTGATGGTCATCCCCTGTTTTTCTAATGCTGCTGATGGAGTGAAATAACAGATCAGCCCTCTTCGTGAACATTGTCCAGGCTATGGCTCTAAGAGATTAAGGAGCTGAAACAGTTACTAACCCTGCTGAGTAGTTTTTGTCTCTAGGTCAATTAAAAAACTGCATTTATTATTTTAAGCCTTTGGTCATCTAGTTTCTTAAAATAATTTACTTTGTCCCAATGTCACTTGCTCAATTCCTTTTTCTAAAGATTTTGTCTGGAAGTATTTGATCCCTTGTCCTGTGCCAGGAATGGGAGGCTGGCAATCTCACTTGATCTAGGCCTGGAGTACACTCATCTCCTATGGGGAGGAAAAGGTTTATAGGAGTGGCCTTTTCTATTTCCTTCTCCCTCCTAGTTCTAGCTGCACCCATCAGGCAGGCTGGCAGAGCCTTCAGTCTGCAGGTACTTAAGCCTGTCAGAAGCCTTGCTGGCCTTGTGCTCTGAGGAAGGCAGGGCTGACAAGTGTTTGGGGTTTGTCTCAGGTCCAACCAGTCCACAGTTCCAGAGCAAGAAGAAAGGAGAAATCTGTATCTGCCATGGGGCATTCTCGGAGGCCCAGGGGAAGCTTGGCCACAGATAGCTAGGCAGGCAAAACTGAGCAGGAGAAGGGAGATCAAGACCCAGGAAGGACAAGGGGTTAGGCTGCAGAGAAGAAAGACTGGAAGCTTGACCTGGATTATGTAGGTTGTTGAAAAGTAAAAAAAGATAGCTGTCAGACCCTCCTTGCCAGACATTCCCCTTCAGTCTCTTCCACAGTACTGCAAGGGACATAATACTGTTCTCATTTTGCAAATGGGAGGGTAAGAGTACATTTGCAGGTAAGGATATTGAGGCTGAAAGGAATTAGAGAGAAGCTCTCTAAAGCCAGGCAGCTCTCAGTTCCCTCCAAAGCCTGTGCCCTGTCCTAGACATAGTTCAACCTCACTCCAGAAGAACAGTGAAGTCTGAGGGTTAGAGTGACTTGCCTAAGGTCACTCAGCTGGTGAATACTTATAAACTAAGAACCAGCATTCATGTGCAGATCTCCCCAGTTCAGGAGCCTGTTGTTCCCTTCCAGCGCCTCTCAGGCATGACCAACGCTGTAGTGGGAGAAACAGCAAGTAGGACAACTAGTATGGCTGTAGTATGGCACACTTGTGTTAAATGGGCCTAGGTAGTGCAAAGTCTTGGTAACAAAGTTGCAAAGTACAGAATTTGACCATAGGTGCTGGGAAGTGCATGGTTGACAACTGTTGAGAACAGTTATCCTTCCAGCCCAGCCCGCCCATGAAAAACTAGGCCTGGCAGCCCAGGTGTAGAGAGGACAGTTGCTCCAACGAAACAAAGGAGTCAAGGTCCAAAGCCCCAACATGTGGCCCAAGTGAGGTGACTTTCTGAGTAGCAGTGTCATTTATGTGGGAGATAGTCTTTCATGAGTACAGATGTGATGAGGGCTTATGAGGCAGGAAGTCTGCAGTCCTCTCCTCCCACCCCACAGCCATCTCCGAGCACCATAGGAGGCAGAAGGAAGCCACAGCTCCTCACCTTTACCCATATCTGGATCGTCTTTGCTCGGTCACTGGCTGTTTCAGAAGTGAACCAAAGATAAACAACTTTAAATGAAGTTCAAACAGACCTGGCTGTAGGTGCCTAAGCACATCTCCCTGGAGGGTGGAAGTGAGCATTAAATGAGATTATGTGAGGAGCTTCTGGCACAGAGTGGATGCCCTGTGTGTGGCACTTCATCAGTTTTTCTCCCACCAACTTTCAAACCAACTCTTGTCCCTGACAATATCCATTGCAGTATCTATAGGAATAAAGGACAGAGTCCAGGAACAAATTATCACTACTTTGGTAACATGAAAGGGTGTGGATAGGATAAGCACTTGCCCAGCATTCTGCCCTATTTCCAGCTTGTGAAAGGCAGCCAGGGCCTGGCAGACGTGCTCAGGCACTGTTTCACTGCCTCGCTGCAGGCCAGAATCAGAGAAGGAAGCCCTGATAAAGACACTGCGCTCTGGTGCTCAGCAGTGGCTCTGTACTAAGATTGTATTATGATGACTCCATAGTCCTCTTGTGGACACGGATGGGAGAGAACCACTGTGGGAGTGAAAAGGCTTAGATCCAAGGCCCATCTGCCCACCTCTGGTGTGGCCTCTAATTGATGGCCATCATTTGCTGAGAATCTGAAGGGCCAGGCATGCCCCTCTGGTTTTTTGCTTGGTTCCCAAATTTGATCCTACGGTGCCTTGAGGTGACACTACCCCTCATTGCTGTGTAACGGGGATTACTATGCTCATTAATCAAATGAGGAAATTAAGGTTCCTGCAACGTGAGTGGATTCAAACTCGAGCTCTCTGGTCACAAGGCCCTGCTCACTCCCTTGGTCACATTCCCTCTAGCGATCACTGGCTGCCACTCAGCTCTGTACCTCCCCTCTCAGTCAGATGATGAGAGTGACCCCTATTTCGCTGGGCTAGCATAAGATGCTATGAAATCCCTTGCCTGCTGTGCAGCTACTTCCTGAAGAATGGCTTGGAAAAGCAGGTCATATCTCCAAGGCTGGAGTGGGGCCCGGATGAGCCGTACTTTTTTATGTGCCTGAGGTGATTCTGAGGCCCTGCCAGGTGTGGGAGGGGCCTCCTCAGTCACTGTAAAGCAGTAGTACCAGTTTCTCAGGAAGTAATGCTGGTGTGGTGTTCTGAGATTAGCCCCCAGCAGCCTCAGGGGCTGGGCCTGCTCCTATGGCTTTTGCAGATGTCCAGGTAGCCCAGGTGTGTTTCACAGGGTGTTATTTGAAGCAAAGGGAAGCAGGATAGAGAACACTCTTCATCCTCTCCTCTTTGAGATGCCCACAGTATCCTCGTGGTACTTTTTATGGCCAATCTGGCTTTGCTGACAGACTTACTTTTGAATCCCACTTCAGCCTCTCAGGTTCTAAATCACATATCTTTTTGGAGCCACACTTCATGTGGAAAATGGGCTGATAAGTTGGCTAAAGTGCTTAGCACATTACCTAGCAAACGGCTAGCAACCTGGAGGTCTTTCTTAGCATGCATCCTCACCCTCAGTACTTCCCTCCCAATTATCTGCACAGGTCCTGCTCTGGGACCACAAAGTGCTGCTCCCCCACTTAGCAGTGCTCCAATAATTTGGGGGTCATCCATGAGAGAAAATGTGGGTTTTCCTAGGATGTTCTCCCCACACCAACCAGTGTTATAGATCAGAAACCAAACAGCCTGTGGGACATGGAAAGGCCACTGCCCAAGTTACAGAAACATGGGGCAAGTTTCATCACCTCTGTAAGCCTTAGCTTCTTCATCAATAAAATGGGGTTAAACAGAAGGTCACGTGCCCAGCGCAGACAGGAAGGAAAGCCACAGGAGGGGAAAGAGAAGGTCCTAGGGGTGGTTGCCTTGATAAAGTCAGTCTGGGAAGTTGCATGGGGGTGGTTTAAGCAGCCATATGATTAAACATATTTAAAATTAAATTACAGGTGTTTGGAGTTGAGAACGCCCAGCAGAAGTAGGCTGTAGTGAAGCTGTATCTTTGCGACCTGGGTCAGGGAAAGACAACATCTGCCCCTGGCAGTTCCCAGGGAAGAGAAGTCAGAACTTTCTTCCCTTATTTATTTGCATGGTTGCACACAGCCTATTTTTTTAAAGGACTTAGGGTAACTAAGAACAGTCCAAAAAGCAAGCAAAGCCACTTCAGTATAGATTACTTAGGTGCCATCCTTGCCCTGAAAGGGCTATACACCACAAACCACAGTACAGCAGGAGTCCGCTGGAGTGCCCTCTCCACACTAGCCCCTGCTTTGCAACAGCTCCCCCCCGCCCCCGCCTCAGATATAGCTTAATCCTTGGAAGACCAAGAATTGGTAGACCTACAGCTTTTTCTTATGTTTTACAATTTTTGATAAGTATCTTTGCTAAGTAATGAATGAATGTGACTCCCCAATACAAAGATAGCCCCCATAAAGTCTTTCTAGGGCACAGGTGGCAAACACAAGGCCTGTGGGCCGAATCCAGCCCTCTACCTTATTTCTACCTAGTGGCAGCACCAAGCTCTCTCTTAACTGTTAAGCCATAGTTCCATTTATACAGTCCTAAAATTACATTCAGCCCTTTGAAGGCAACTGCTAGGCTGATATGGCCCCTGTTGAAAATGAGTTTGACACCCCAGTTCTAGGGAAATTGGTGACATGTCAAACACAGCACAGGACTCTGCACTCAGTGGGGAGGAAGTAATCTCAATTAGCCTTAAGGGCGTGACTTATAGGGCCCCCAAATACCCTGCTATAGTGGGTTGAATTGTGTCCCCCAAAAAGATATGTTCAAGTCCTAAGGCTCAGCACACACCATAACTGTGGATGTGACCTTATTTGGAAATAGGATCTTTGCAGATGTGATTAACATAAATATCTCAAAATAAGATCATTCTGAATTTAGGATGTACCCCAACCCAATGACTGGTGTCCTTATAAGAGAGAGAAGGGGTAGGTTTGAGCCACAGAGACACACAGAGATAAAGGCCAAGTGAAGATGAGGGCAGGCATTGGACTTAGCAGCTACAGGCCAAGAACAGCTAAGGTCCACCAGCAGCAGCAGAAACTAAACAGAGGCATGGAGTGGATTCTCCCTCAGAGTCCCCAGAAGGAACCAACCCTGCTGATACCTTGAGTCTGGATTTCTGGCACCCACAATTGTGGGAGAGTAAACTTTGTTGTTTTAAGTTACCCAGTTGGTGTGATTCACTGTGGCAGTGCTAGTGATAGGGGTTTAAGACTTGGGAAAGTTTAACTTAAGGTAAATAGTCATAAATCTAGCAAGTAATGTGTATGTTAAGTTTTTGTTTCAGCAACTACAGATAAGGCCCATCCTGGCGCCTAAATTTTAAGCAGTTTACCTCCTGGGTCACTGACTGGGGATTACCTCATCTGGAGACTTCTGTACCAGGAAGAAGCAAGCGACTACCCTTCCCCCTTGGAGGCAACTGTTGAATTTCAAAGGCTTTTGCTGACACCTTGTTTGCCCTCCCCCAACCCCCTTATAAAAGATCTGGCCAGGAATGAAAGAGAGGAGATGGTTTGTTAGGGTATGAACCCGCCATCTTCTCCGATCGCCAGCCATCTGAATACAGCGCCTATAAAAGA